AAAAAAAAAAAAAAAAAAGGGGGGGGGGGGGGGGGAAGCTTTTCCTAAGTCCAGAAAAATTTACTTTGCTAGCTAGGGCAGGGGTTGGCAAAATACAGCCTGCAGGCTGGATTCAGCCAACCAGCTGACTGGATCTGCCCCAAGGTGGGCACCTACTACAGCCTTCCCACCCCCTCCATATATACCCCCACCTCAACCACACACATCCCACACATTATACAAGAGTAAAATTTTTATTTTGAGCTATTAAGCAATTGCCTCTATATACACCAGGCTAAATATACAAATCAGGACAAAATGTTTTTTGAAATAAAATTAAAAAGTGTGTTATAGTAGCTGCTTGATTTTTAGTATGATTTGTTTTGTTTTGTTTTTTTTTTCCAGTTCCAAGATGGCACGCCCCCAGTAGTACTTTGCAGGCAAAGAAAGGGACTTCTGGTGGCAAAAGGTCAGAGGTTGGGACAGGACTTCTGGTCCCAAGATGGTGACCAGGGAGCGGAAGACTTGCCAAGGGGTAGAGCTACCCTTTTGGCCCTCAACAGCTCAAAGAACTCATTAAGCAACCTTCCAACTGAAATAGATGCCCGCCCCCAAGTTAGGCAGTGTTCAACAGACCCTGGGCTCAGGCTTACATTTTGGAAAATAAATCTTTTTGCTTTGCACAACTGACTTGCTATACCTTCCTTCTACAGCCCACACACAACTCTTTCACATCTGATGACCATCGACAATAATCAACCACTGCCATCTGCTCCAAGCTTATCCCTGGGAGAGTATGGCTATTTCCATCTACCTTCCAAATCCTGCAGGCAACTTCTGAAGACCAGGGATTCAAAACAAGTTAATAACAAGTTTTGCTTACCATTACAATACTCATTCTGTATAAGCATGTGATCATCTTCTGCCCATGCAGAGTAGTATCTCACTACATGAGAATGCTGTCCCAAAACTGCATGTGCATAAACCTCTCTTAAAGCATTTTGCCTGTTATACATAAAAAAGAAGCGAATATTTAGCAGTGTCCTGAAATTAAATTTAGGACAATTATAAGAAGTTGTTACCTATAATCTCTTAAGGGCATGTGAACAATAAGGTAGTAGCCATGCTAATCAGCAAGTGGCTTGAAAAACTAGTATACAAGACTCAACACAAGCTTTATAATCAAGGAAGCCTGCACTGGTGAAAGGGAATACTTACCTCACTACTATAGTATACCCGTATTTTTGAGGCTATCAAAAATCTGGAATTCTCAAAAATCCAGCACTTTTTAAAAATACACTAGGCTGGGGAGTAGCAGCAACTGGTCCCGGAGCAGCAGAGAAGGAAGCTTGCACGAGTGGCTGCTGCCGCCATCTACCACTGCTCTGCATGCAGCCACTGCTTCAGGACCAGCTGCTGCTACCCATGAGCACCCCCCACCTTGCTCCGCAACTGGCCACCGCTCCAATTTCACAAATCTGGAATTTTCATATTTTTGGCAGACACTCATTTCTGAGCATGCTGGATTTATGAGGTTATACTGTATAACCTTAAGGCTAGAGTCTTTTAGTCAAATGTAAAGCCTTCAACAAAATGTAGAAGTAGTGTGATGCCTTAAATTGCCTTCATACAAATGTCAATGTGATGGAGTATTTAACTTTTAATTTTATTTTACAGTGTAAACAAATTTTAATGCTTGGGTACTGCTAGCAAAGTTTTTGTTGTAAACTAAAATGGCACTTCCTCACTAATAGCAAGGTAAAAATGCTCAAAGTGCCTGCAAAAAATCATTGTACTTTGAAAGCACCATTAACATCTAACCTTTAAACATTGCCACCAAAATGTTTCAGAAAAAAAATTAATGAATACAAACCCCTTTTTTTTTTTTTTTTTTTTTTTTTTTTTAACCCAAATGG